AATTTCTGAATTAATTGCAGGTGTCTGCTTCCAACAAGAGTGTAGTCTTTAAATTATACATGTCAGTGCATCACTTACACTGTGTCACATCCTGTTATTTTCTTCTCCTTGTAAGTCTGTATAACACAATGTGACATGAAAGAAGTGCACAGACATTCTGCAGTACCTCAAATATAAATAGTACATTTTAGGATATTGTATACTACTCATATTTTGAGTTACCTTGGATGACTAAGATAATGATAACATTTCACTCTGAAAGGAAGAGGAGAAAATGAACTTAAGCCCCAGTACTCTTGAAGATAGCACAAAACTATCTTGGGTGTCCATGTATTGTGCAATAAATTATAAAGGAAAATACATTTTTTTAATTATCAAACATCATCTTATGTACATGATACATACTAGAGTATATTGGAATGTGACAGGTAGATCAGAAAGACATATAAAGTGATGGCTGAATTCAGCCTGAATAATTAAATTAATAGAGCATCAGGTTTGGGGTATCAAGATCCATGTTCAAGTCCTATTTAGGAAGCTTAATGTTCTGGACAGTGTGACTATACTTTCTACTGAGAAAGATCAGAACTGCTTGACTAAATCACCTACTGCTAAAACTTAAGTGAGCTTCTCTTACAGCTTCAATAATGGTGATAAATGCTTTGGGAGCCAGAGGATCTGAGTGCTACCCTGGCTTTTGCTGTGAAGTTTCAAATGGTTATTTTCTATAGTGTAGGAACCATTGTGAGATTCCCAGGAGAATGGGTTAGATAAATAATCCTCAGTCATCTAGGAATTGTGCTAGTTGGAAATACCAAATTTTCTGCTATACTTAGTACAGGCAGTTCCCAGGTTACATGGATCCAACTTACATCGGATCCCTACTTACAAGCGGGGTGTGGCAACCCTGCACTAGCTGCTTCCCCCCAGCAGACCAGGGAGATGTGAAGCGGGTGAGGCAACCCCGCACTAGCTGCTTCCCCCCAGCAGACCAGGGAGACGCGAAGCTAGCGCCTTCCCCCCCAGCAGACCAGGGAGATGCGAAGCTAGCGCCCCCCCACCCCAGCAGACCAGGGAGAGGTGGAGCGGCTTTTCTCAGCAGACACTTCAGCTTGAGAATAAAGGGCTGAGGGAAGTGAGGTGTGGGAGAATAAAACTGAGCTCTGGAGAAATGTTTGGCTAGAGTTTCCCCTACAATATGTACCAGTTCCGACTTACATACAAATTCAACTTAAGAACAAACCTACAGTCCCTATCTTGTACGTAACCCGGGGACTGCCTGTATAAGATATAATTGTTAGCAGATGAGTTTCTTAATGGTGTACAGTGTAGTACACACTTCAAACTTAATACCAAGCTGCGGAGAAGTGAGATTTGAAGTATTAATCGGACACCCAAGTTTTGGGGTCTTTTCCTCTGTTGTGTCTTGAACTGAAGCCCTTTTGAATGTTGAATTGTAAATTGTAAAATTCAGCTTTCCCATTTGAGCTAGAAGAGCATTGCTACAGACTGAACCTCCATACTGCAGCACTCTCTAGTCTGGCAACATCCATGATTTTAGTTAGCCACTCCTCATGGGTGTGGCCAAGTTTTCCGCAGTCCCATAAAGTATGTTTACAGCCAACAGTCCTGGCTCTCAGTGTTCTGTACTATTATTTAGCTCTAATTTATCCCTAAATGTCTTCTAAGAGCCCAGTAAGCAGTAGAAGTGTTGGTAATGCTGCTAGCAAATTCTCTGGTCAGGTCCTGAGGGTACTAGACTAAAGATGTTCAGCCTGCATTGGCTTTCAGTATGGTATTTATATTCTTTGTGCATGGACCAGAGTCATTAAAAGACAAGATTATTCTAATATATACTGCAATACTCAACCATAGTTAGGAGGTTTAAGGATAAACTGGAGCACTCAAATGAACTGCTTCATAGGAAGCTTGCCAGAAGCCCATTGGCTACTCCTACTTATTTGTAACTAACAGGTGAGGCCTGTTGTTGCCCGGGCAAAGTCATTTTATATAGATTACACTTATAAGAAAGTTCAAGAAATGAAATATATGTAATAGAATTTTTATGTGCTTGCACAAGGGAAATAAAAGAACAGTTTTAAATTTGTAGGATTTCAACTTCAAACATTATTCTTTTTATTGCATAATTACCATACATAGTAAATTTGAATCAGGAATTTGTAAAGCTTCCGTTACTCTTTCTGTAACTAATTTGAATTATTTTGGGATTTGTAATAGTAAAAATTTTATTCACACTAAAATGACAGCTGAATAGGCAACTCAATTCAAATTTTGTTAGCAAATATTTTTATGAACTCTAATCATAATAGTCATGGCTATTTTTCTGATGGAAAACAAAAATAATAATTTAAACCTTTCACCCAGCATATTCTAATGTAAAAAGTAGTGCATTCAGCTAATTTAAGTGGCAGGATTGTTTATGCAAAATTGGTATCTGTTGGTAATTGTGAAGTATGACTTTATTTTGCGCAAACAAATCCACAAACAAACAACAAATTCTTCAAAATATATAGTAGAGATGGAGGTTTATTCTAGGAAAATTATTGTACAATTCTCTATACTATTCTGGCAAAAGATGAGTCTGTTTGCATTAAAATGAAACATTCTGTGCTGGAACCTATAGTTTATGTAGGCTGCTCCCAGATACAAAAAATGAGAATTACTTAAGATGCATTTGGGTTTTGGCTTGTGAGTTTCACTTCAGCTAGCCAATGTTTCTATGACTCGAGCATACATTTCCTTTGTTTCTTCTCTGTGCTTAAGTCAGACCTTCAATTATCTTAAGTTGGATGGGAGCTGAAGGTTATAGTTTATAGTCCTTTTATGTTCAGCTACAGGTGTTGATAATCGCCAGGGCAGGCAAAATTGCAACCCAAACATGATTTATTTGGTCAAGAAAATATGCATACATGACTTTTTAAACATTGTGAGTAATGATTTCCAGCTTTAATCAGGGAAATGGAATTCAGAATAAATTCATGCCAGTTAGTACTGGATCATGCACATAGCTTTGTGGGTGTACTTTTAAAACTACAGCATTACTTTTGGCAACCTCACAAACCTATTTACCTGTTGATTTTAAGGTCAGGGTGATTTTGGGGGAGGGGCAATATAATTGTTAGCCCTCTACCTATTTGTGCATGTGGCTGTATCTTTTGGACATAATGATTTCAGCTCTTTTTTGTGTCTATTCCAACTATTTTGGTTTCATGGACAGTCCATTTCAATTTTTTTTCTGGCCATTGTTAAAGAGATTTTGCTTCACATTTCATATAAGCACACAATACCAGCCAAAAGAGAAACAGGATAGTCCATGGCTACTGCATCAATTTAGCTAGTAAAATTTGTTTTCATGACCAACTCTCTCTCTTATTCACAGGCTTGAATTTGAACAAAGAGAAAAGGGAGTTCAACTGAACTGACCTCAAGTCTCCCACTTCTATAGCCTTTGCTAGGCCGAGGTGCCACTTCTGTTTACTCTTTTTGCCTCTCTGCACACCTGAGATCTGAGACAGCCACCTGTGTGAATAGGGAGTGCCCTCTCTTTTACACTAGTGCTGCTGGCAGTTGAGTAAATCTTCTTCAGCAGCAGGCCTTTCTCTTATCAGCCCAGATAGTCAACCGATCCTCATTCCAGGACCCCAAATAAACTGATATTATATTTTCCTGAACTAGTACTGTGCTTCCCCAGTTTTCACTCCCTACCAACTAATACACTGCCTCCCCACTTTCCCAAACAATCAATACTTTTCCCTCCCACTCCCTAGACCCAGCCAATTGAAACTGTAGCTAGACAGTGCCTTCCTCACTGAAAGGGCTATTACCATCTCTCCAGAGGGGAGCTGAGCTGTGGCAGATTTGGAACTTCTTAGAGAGAGCCTGCGTGCAGTGTTCTGTGTAAGCTCGAAAGCATGACTCTCTTGCCAAACTCACCCACCTTTTCTCTCAGAGACAGACTGACATTTTGGTAGGCAGCTGAATTCCTTTCCAGCAACCAGCCAAAACAATTTGAGGCTGAAACTAAAGACAGGACCCATACTGATGAGCAAGAGAAAGAAAGGTAGATGCCTCTCCAACACTGAGGGAAACAGGGAAGGAGGGGCTCCTAGAGCCTGGCCTATGTGAGAAGTCTCTGACTTGAGAATAGGGGAGCTCTAAGTAGAATCAAAGCTGAGGAAGGAGCCCTGAACTCTAGAACTTTAATAATTAATCTGTTAGAAAGAATTTGATGTCCAGGTGTGACTGCTTGAGAGAGATGCTTAGGACATGTGGGTATTCAGGGTCCTCAGGAACAAAAGGTTTCATTGCTAATGACTGTTTTGGATCTACTCATTGCGCTTGTCTGACTTCCATTTAATTCAGTTTATTGTACCCCTTACTGAACTCATTTTTCATGTTTCTAACCAGGCAGGGAGTAAAGATCCTCATTTACTTTGTGACACATTTGTGTCACTCCAAGGCAAACCCACTGAGAGTTTGATATCAATGTAGCTTTAATAGTTAAACCACTTACCCCAGGGATTGTGATTTGGTTGTTGTGATTACCAGTGATAATCAGTTTTTGTGCACCACAGGGCTGCAGGGAACAAGAAGGGGTTGGTTCCAATACTGAGCCTCCAATGGCAAATTGTTAGCATATCTCCTATTTAACTTCTTGCTGAGTTACCCCAGCCTCACCAAACTGATATTGTGTGCCTCATCCTTTATTCTTTACAGTTTGTGAGCAGCTTCTCCCTTTCCCTCTTCTGCATACCTTGGATGGCTTTGAGGTGAAGGCAGAAATTCCAGGTGAGAGGCTCCCATGAATTCAGGCTGGGTCAGTAAAATGTTATCCTACTCCCCCTGCAGGTTCTCTGGTGCTCCCACAAGGAAGCACTTAATATTCACTGTCTCCCATCTTGAAGGGGATGGCAGGCAGCCAATCAGGTTGTTAACAGCAGCAACAAGCCATAGATTAGTTGTTCAGACCACTCCTTGTTCACACAGGTGGCTGCCTCAGAAAGAGTTTGAAGTCTGCATGGAAGGCAGTAAAGAGGAAACAGAGAGATGGTGCCTTTACATAAAAGACTTGACAAAGGCTGAAGGAGTGGGAGTCTTGAGGTCAGTCCAAACCAAGAACTTATGCATGACAGCACAATTCACTTCCCATGTTTCACCAAGACAGCATTTGCAAAACATTCACCACAGATGTTGTACTGTAATCAGAGGCTCAGATTTCTAATGAGAAGTAAGTAAAATATTTTGTTGAGCCAGTTTACAAATTTTGGTCTCTCTTTGAATTACTAAAGCAAAAATTTAATAAGAGTTTGACTAAAATGTTTACTACTTAAATACCAAAGTGATAGGTACCTTATAAATAAAGCAGATAAAGAAACTAGAAGTGAGAAAATAAGAAACTGCAATCTATTTAGCCATTTTAAAAACTGCCTGTATTTCTTTAGCAAATTAGACTTGCACAGTTTACAAGTCATCTCACCCTTTGTTGAACTCATCTTTGAAGTTTCAGTATTGAAAGTAGCTCAGAATCATGCAAATAATGTCTTTTTGTTCTTGGATCTGCTGTTCTCACAAATATGCTGTAGGCTGTCCATTATGTGCTGGAAAGACTAATTTACTGTAGAAGTTACCAAGTCCATTCAGTTGCAAACTATGAAATAATTCAAGTATAACAGGGGTGCCCACTAGGGCTGCTCTGGTTCAGGTTGAGTCAGCATTTCCATATACTTCCCTATTTGTTAGGAGTTTAAATTCAGCAAGATGCATTTTTATCCCTGTACTGAAACAAGACACACAAGATTTTAACCCAGTTGTTTTACCTGTGCCTCTCTGGTATACCCCAAATCAATTCAGACTTGTTAACATCATTGCAAAAAAGAATTTTGAAGTTTAAATATCATTTGTATGTTAATGTAACTCCACCCAGCTATATTCAGTTTAAAAATCATGTTTTGCTACAGTAATAATCAGTTATTCACTTCTGTTATTTTTCCAAAATTAAATACCACAACAGAGCTGCTCTTTGAAAATGATTAGTTTGACACTCACAATGTACATTACTCTTATTTAAATATTGAGAATGCATATTTCAAATTTCTGGATATGTATTTATAATAACGTGATTATACATTTTAAACAGATTAAAAATCTATTTTTACATTAGTTCACTCAAGAATATGGATAAGTTAAAATCTTGGGGAAAAAACTCATGTTTATTTCCCCACATGCAAGATCCTTTTCAAACATTCAATTTGTATTTTAGAAATTTATGTGAGTACTTTATTAATTAGACCATATCAGTTTTCAAGTCCTTTGTACTACACTGCCTTGAACAGTCTTACATTGTAATTCACTTAACTTCAATAAAGTAACTTTTAATTTTAAATTAATCTGAAAATAGAATTAGGTCAGATTTTTTTAATATATATATGGAAAGAATAGTTTTATAGTATTGGCAAAAATTAAAGATGAGCCAAAAACCTATGTCCAGAAAATCCCAAGTTTTGAGAAACCACAGCTTTCTACTGAAATCATAACTTTGCAACTCCGGCCAAATCCTATAATTGGCTCCACCAATAATTCAAAATCTGAGCACCCCATACTTTGGAGAAATTTCATATTTGGATCCAATTCTAGATGTCAGAGTTAAGGCTAACAATTCATTTTAATTTTCCTTTGTTCTAATATGATTCTTTAAACAGCTCAATAAATTACATACTGTAAGTAGAACTGAGTGATTAATTGATTTTGCTGTTCACTGGCAGTGTCAACCAAATTTTTTTAATTAGTTTCAAGCCAGAATTATTTTTAATTTTCAGTTACACAAAAAATTCAGGGTGAGGTAATTGTGTGGGGTGGAACAAAGTATTTCTTTTGAGCCAAAATAAAAGGGATTTTTTTAATTGAGATTTTTTTTAAACGTTTTCTTATTTTGAATAGCATTTCAAAATTGTCTTCTATAAAAAGTTGTTTTGAAGTGAAAAACTGAAAAGTTATAATTTTTAAACATCAAAACAAAAGTTTCCTTTTTTTTTCCCTGAAAATTTTAAGGCTTTCCAGACCAAACAATCCAGTGAAATAGACACAAAATGCTAGATTCACAAAATGACTTAGCCATTTAACTTGCCACTTTGGATGCTTAAATGCTAGAATTAGATCCCAATGGGATTCACAAAGCCCCTGCTCAGCTACCTCTGAACATTTAGGTGCCTAAAATTCCTCAGTGCCTACATTTTTGCAGTAAAAGTTCCTAGGTACCTAGACAGACTTCTGCCTTTGTACCCCTACGCTAGGCACCAAGCTTTCAAGCCCAGAGCAATGCATAACCAAATTAAGTTAGGTGTTCCTCTGCTAACTCACCTGCAGAGCCTGATCCAGTGAGTTCTGTGCTCACCTAGTGGTGTAAGCATTGTAGGCAGGAATACACAAAATGGGTGGGAGTGCAGGAGGAAGACCTCTCTCACAACTCTTAGCCTCGTGGTTGAGATACTCATCTGGGATATGGGAGATCCCCAATTCTTGTCCTCAAAGGGAAAAGGAATTCAGAATTTGAATCTACTACCTCCCAAATGAGTGCCCTAACTACTGGTCTGACCAGTATCTTGACATGGGGCTCCTTTAGGCTCTCCTGTTAAAGCTATTACACTATGGATAATAAATTATAAAAATGTCAGTGAAATGGTAGATCTGATTCCTGGGTCTCCATGTGAGTGCTGTAACCAATAGCTCTCTCTCTCTCTTTCTTTTCCTCCTCCTCCCTCCCAAGAATTTCGCAGTACAGTATGTACTCCAGTAAATGGAACTTGTGAGGTTTTTTTTCTTGAAGATGAATCTTTGATCAAGAATGTCTTTCCTTAGAAAAACAGATTTTTGGGGGTAGCCATGCTTAACTCAGTGTAAACATACTGACTATTAGAAAGCCCTTCATACAACTTACCATATTACTTGTTGGGTCTTAGATGTCCAGGGATGGGAGCACAGGGTCAGCACTGACACAATGAATGCCGGAGCTGACAGAATAAGGAAGTCATACTGAAGTATGGAATAAAAAGAGAAGGAAAGCAAGGTTTGAATGATTCTTACTCATCTATATACAGAAAAAGACAGAGGAAAAAAAGAATGAAGGAAAAAAAGAACTGTTCTTCATATAATTTTGTGAGATTAAAAACAACCCTATTGCAAAACAAATTGGTACTTTGTATTCCTCCTACTATTTTCATTTAAAAGGGAGTTGCTGTGCAAAATAATGTCCTTGTCTGTCCCTTCCTCACACAAACCTCCAATCAAATTTAATAAAGCTAGTTTGATGCAATGCCAGCCTACACTTGGTTTACCCTTGGTCGACTTTAATAGGGTCAAAAATATTTTCGCATTGGCAGTGTACGCATTAATCATTTTTCCAGAGGATTTAGAAAATTGGAAGAGACAAGGCCAAGCAAAACTTTAAATTAATTGGGCCTACCCCAGCATTCAAGGGTCACCTTGTGTCAGTTGTCCCACATTTTCCAGGTCATAGAGCTACAGCATATCCTACAGCTGCCATGAGAAAAGATCCATGCTGTGGGCACACAAAGGTGAAAGAATTTCTCTCAGAAAGTGTGAATTTTCCTATGGGCAACCACAATTGCAGCTTCCAGATTGTCGCCAGACACCAACCACTTAAATAATGCATGCTCGGCTGATGCCTCGACTTGGTGCATTTTCTAATCGAGTAGTCAGGCGAATTTGCAAACATTCTGTCATTTACCATAAATCCGCTGCCTGCTTACAACTACAGAGTAATTAATTTTAGTGCTGCTCAGAATTATCAGTTTCAGCTGGGAAATCTGTCACTCCCCCCCCCCTTTTTTTTTGTTTGCTTATTTCTTAATATTCTACCTAGGGGTTGGAACATCAAAGCACTATTCTACAAGGGGAAGACTGTTTGTGGCAATGCTAATGTGCTATACCAGTGTGACACAAATCACTGCTTCAACATTTCTGATCGTAATCTGCAATAATGCTCTCTCAGTATCTGGCTAGTAGGCCAGATGAAACTGGCAATGCAAAATAAAGGAGGTGAGTGATAGCCTTCCTTTGCAGATGTTATTAATTTATTAGTTCCTAAAAGTGTTTACTGTGTCATAAACAGTGTGAAAATCTTTCTATTCTTGCTCTTATTCAGAGGAGCAGTGTCACAACCTAAGTGTTGGGGAAAAAAATAGAGACAAGAAACTTATAAGGAGTAATTTATCATGTATCTAAATATTTGTAGCATATAACACTCTGGGCTATTTGTTGAGAATAAAATGTTGAGTTTATTCACAGAACTCGAGATTATGAACACTACAGAGAAAAATTACTTTTTTAATATCCACCATTTTGTAAATACAGAACTTATTGCTAATTGAAATAGTTCATTATTTAAAGAAAGTGCCACCTCCAGTTTCTCATCTAATTAGTACATGAACTAAACTATATGTTTAATCTTGAATTTTAGACTAGTGCAAAGTACAATTTGCAATGTTGAGCTCTGGTGTTATAGCATTCAGTACTCAAGCAACAGTCCAATTTAGTTGCCGTCCAAGTTGTGTCCGTGTCTGCTATATGGGAGAACTGGTGACGCTGGGATTGCTACTGGAAGCTCCAGTTCCCATCAATATTGTGAAGAAACCAGTATTTGTCTTGTAACTGCATTGCTATATGGCTATGGTCAAACAAATGTTAATTTCCTACTGAGGGGAATGGAGGAGAGCAAGCTAACTTTTTTTTTTTTTTTTTTTTTAAGTAAGCATGATTCACTGAGAGATCAGACATTGTAAAGTATTTCAGGATGTTTGTGGTCATCTTGGTCTAAACAATCCTAATAGTTCTAGCTGGCTTGTCCTGCTTCCAACTACTCTCTTTAGGGCAGTCTAAAACTGCTTATTTTATGAAGAACTGTAACCCTTTAATTCCATGTACATTACTCCCTGACTATTAGATTAGTCTAACTATTAGACTATGGAATAACTCCATAGCTCATGATTTAAAAGCTGGATGGTGAAATTTGACATAGCATAGTTGTACATTTAGCATGCTGATTTACTAGTAAAATGTGTGATTATAGACACTTGACAAGGAATATGACAGAAATCATAAATTAGACAAATGTAAAAAATGAGG